CACGATTCGCCCGCAGGCCGCATTTTCCGCACTGGCAGGTGGATATTTTGTTGGCTTTGCGGTTTTTTGTTTACATGTTTGGCAACAACAAATGTGTGTAAAACTCAATACGCTTTTGGCTTTTGCGGTGGGCCCAAAACAAAAAAAATACGATACAAGCGGACGACGACACGTGCCCGAAAACCGAAAACAAGGAAACCGCAAGATCCTGTCCAGATATATACACCCAGGGTCGTAAACCAATCGGGAAGGGAAATCAATTAAAGCTCATTAGCCTGGCCCAGACACCGAAAATAGCCAGGTTACTGGGACGATAAGGCAGCTGTCCGCCCGTCGAATGCACGGTTAATATACGATCCGATAGCAAAGTCCGCCGTAGAAAGGCGGATGCCACTGGAGGCGAGCCGATAGAGCCGGTGTCATGGAATCTTTGGCAAGGAATTTCGCTGCGATTTATTTACGATTTATTTTGATTTCGCTATTCGGGGGCAATCTTTATGAGGCTTTCCACTATGCGCCCCATAAATCTCCGCCAGCTGTGGCTCTCTAATGCCCGATTCGCACGTCATCCTGCGCCGTAAAATGCTTTCAGACTGATTTGCCCCGGTCGTTCCCAATTGACTGATAAGACCCCAAAATAGTGTTCAGTCATCCAGCAGTATTTAAAAGGAAAAAAGCTAAGTTCGATTTATATTACTGAGGACATTTTTAGTGGTGAAAAGCTAAAGCAAAGATTTCTCTAAAGAAATTAAGGAAAGTATTACTCAATAAAGTTCGCTATACTATTTCTATTTCATTTTACTAATTGTATTATAAGTGTTACGATTATGATTTTTTCAGGTATAATTACAAACTTAGCAACCCATTTATATAACCCATTTATTTAAGACCTTATTAAAGATAAAATTAAAAAGAAAAATATTATTATTAATTATTATTAATGGAACCCGATTAAAAAGGCCAATTAGAGCAATTACAATTTCCAGGTAAAGAATAATGAGAAAGTACCCTTCAAGGCGCTAAAATTATGTGTAATTGCTGGAAATAATTCCCCATCTGAAGGTTATCCAGTCGATCAATCTTATTGAGCCTTCCGACAAAAAACTTTCACCTGTGCCAACTGTCAAAGATTTCCTCATAACTTTTGGCCACACGATACCCCGGAGCGTGACTCATTTCCCAGGCATTTTCGCAGGTGAAAACCTGGCCAAATGGAGGCTCGCCAAAAAGCCAAATGGCCAACTAGCGCGTGGGGCCCAGAGTTTAATCGTAATCAGTCATTGTTATTGATTGGGTGATACCCACACCCCACCTCCCACCGCCCACCGCCCATCGCCTTGCACCACCCACCGCCTCAAAAAGACCGCGATGATTGACAGTAAATAGCGGCGCTTAGCGTGCGAGTGAGAGGGGCAGCTGTGCAAGGGAGAGGGGCAGCTGTGCGAAGGAGAGGGGCGATTAGGGAGCTGGTCAGCAGTTGGCCACAAAGTTCAAGTGGGGCCAACGCGAAACTGCCAACTCGTTCCTCCGCCGCATGGGGCTGTCAACGCGATAATCAACTGCAAATATTCATTTTGTATTACATAGTTTTAAAGAAAATTAATTGAGTTTGTCACAATTGGCAATTATAAGCATAAGTGAAATTAACTTGATGTAAAAACAAGAAAAATTATCAAACAAGGGGTTAAGCTAAATAAAACATAATACTAATGCTAATAAGGATTTATTATTTACGCTGTTTGATTGACTTATCCAAAAAATGTAAATCATTTTATTTAACACAGTTTATTTCATCAGTGTATTTATTTATGTCTTCTCGGAATTAATTAAATGTAAAATCATTAATCAAATCAGTAATCAAAAATGTAAACCATTTCATTTAACACATTTTATTTCACCAGTGTATTTATGTCTTTGCCGAATTAATAAAATCTCTCTCAAAGTAGAGAAACCAACCGAAACGTAACAAAACAATTTGTTTGCCAAAATGGCAAATTAAATTGTTAAGTTTATTAAACGGCATAGTCAGTTGTCACGCCGATGTCAAAAAGGCCAAAACGGTAAACGTCGAGAAAACCAAAAACTAAACAAAAAAGCCAAAGTTGGCAATGGGTTTTGGCCAAAACAGCAGCGCGGCTCACTGGAAGCCATTAGGCAGACAATAAGCTGCGTCTTTTTAAATGCCTGTCTTTGGCAGGTTCTCGGCGACTGGCGCATGCAATTAAAGCCAAGCCGAGTAGTTGGCCAAGAGGCTGAAACGCTGAAACACTGAAATGCTGAAATGACCACCCACGCCGGCCAGTCAATTAGTTTGATGAGCGTTTTCGGCTGCCGTTGACGGCAAATGGGCAGCGCAAAAAATTAATTAGCTTTTTGCGGTATCCACTTGATTGGCCAAACTACCGGCCAGCCCTGCGAAAAAGTTGCCAAGATAGAGATTGATTTGAGTTTGGGATTTGTTTTAGCATCAGTGTGACCTCAGTTAACCTTTTCGTTAACTTGGTTAAAAAAATCCATCTATGGGTGATCGGAAATGGTTTATTTTCGATTAGACCTTCGACGTGATTTCGGTTGAAAAAGCCTTACAACAATAATTTAAAAGCAATACAAAGGCAATTGAATTAATCTTTGTACTTAGCTCGAACCTTTCGAAATATATAAAAAAGCAATGCGATAATTGCAATTACAAAAATATGTTATCAATTTGATATTATATCACTTCATTATAGCACATTTTTTAGTTATAAAAATCACGTTTTTACCCTCAATAGAGTGATAAAGCAAAACAAATTCCAACTACTATCTAAACCCATTTAAAGGTCCAACTGTAATCTTTATAAAAAAAACCCCCTTTCATAATTTTCTAACGAATTTTCGCAGAAAAACATTTCCAAGCCAAACCTCACATAATATCGATTAATTAGCACTTTTGTGTAGGTGCAGAAAACATCCCAACAATCTTGATGACAGCCACGTCTAAGAACTTTTATTTCGCTAATAAACAGCCCTCGTCTATCACTTGACAACTTAACATATTTCGAGTTGTTTGTAAGCGAATCTAATCGGTGGCAATCTTCGTGGCGCATTCCTTGTGACGTCACAGCGATAGCAATCCGCCAATCTGCTTTTTGGCCCGTGACTTTGGCCAATATTTTCACAAAAACTTTAGTCGACTTTCTTAGCCGTAATATAGGAGCTGCTGTACGGGTCATGTGCTGACAGTTGCCAGTTGGCAACAGCCCTGATAACTGGGTTGAAAAAAAGTGGAAAGTAATTGTTTACGATATTATTGAGGAGGTGTGAGGCCTTAAAGAGGTCCCATCCAAATTGATAACTGAGTCATGGGAGTGATGAAATCGGGGAACCGAATTATTCAGGGAACAACCTTTGGACCGCAAGGAAGATAACAGGAGGACAACTCAACTTAATCCCACTTAAGGTTTCTGTTATTTTCGTTTCACATTTGAAAAGTATAATTATCTTTTAAGTACTGGTCACGTTCTCAACTGTTTGGGGGAAATTAAAATGTCATTTTAGTCTGCTGTGTTGAACAAAATATACAGAAATAATCCTTATGGGCTGACCACATGTCAACTTTTAGTGTCAATTCAATTTAGAACCCATTTATTTGTTACTTACTTGTATGTATGGCATAAAGTACAAGCCCTTTTCAATGGGTTTCTGTAATTCTAAATTAAATTGCAATTCGAAAATGGAAACCGCACATGGTCGTCCTTGAATTGTAATAGTTTTGGTCAGCCCTCGAATATGTATTGTTCTATAAGATAGGCTCAGGATTTCATTACCCTTTTTAATTTGAGTTTAGAATAAATGTCAAATATTTCGAATAAAATGTTAGTCCTCCCTAAGTCTTAACCATTCTTCGAACAATGCGAAATAATCCTTTTAAGCTGGCCAATTATTTGCTCTTTCACACCACTCTAATCAATGGCCAATCTATCTTGCTGTCATACACCTAATTTCGCCAGACTTTAATGAGCTTAAAGTGCGACCAGTGGGGCAATCCAATCCAATCCAATCACATTCGATCCGTGTCTGTGCCAAAGTGCGTCAGCAATCAACTGGCGAGCCAAGTGGCTGTCATTGGTCGTCATCGGCAGGCGTCAGAAATCAGAATTCAGGCGTCCACATCGAACATCGATTCTGACAATGGGCCATTATCATGGGCGGATTACAAGGATGGCAAAGGGGGCAACAAAAGAGCGAGGAGCGGACTGCTCACGGTGCACAAATCGCCATTGTCTCGCTCAACAAAGGGAATCACAAGGAGCAGTGGCAGTTCCCCAGCCATGTCCTCATCCATGTCCTCATCCATGTCCACGTCCCAAGTCCATGAATCGATTGTCAGTGGACCGCGCCCCCTTCTTGTATTTCGCATCCTGTCCGAGAGCCATTGTCAATCAATGTTCAATCAACTGCTGCATTTTCGGCAACTTCCGCTGGGAGAAGTAGAGTAATGCCACCCAATTGACATACTTATAATACACTTAGAAAAATATGCTGGGAGCTAACAAATTAAAGACAAAAGTAGTTTTCGAAGAGAAACCTTTTCTGTTACATTTTAAGAATTTATTTTTAAGCTTTGAAAAATACTTAAAAACATAAAATCAAAGAAAAGTATTTTGATTTTTGGGTAAATTACACAACATATATTTGATAAACTTCATTTTCCGCATAAAAGGTATTTAAATATTGATAACCACTTATGTAGTTTTCCTTTATTTGACCTTTATTTTTATTCATACTCCTTTTCAATTAACAAATTTTATTTAGATTTATTTATAATTTTTTTTCGAGTGTCCTGGCAACGGATGTCGCATGCGGGTCCTCATTCTGTTGCTTTATTGTGACCCTAATCGCTTTAAATTGTGATACACTTAGGGGTGGTTCCGCTTTATTGCGTGGGTGTTAACCATTCTTATGGCCAGCCGGAACTATTGCCATTCCTGTGATTGTGATTGAGATTGAGCCAGAGCCCATTAGGCGAGCAACTCGCCCAGGAAGCAGATTCCGGCGAGGGCGTGTCCGCCGCCCAAGACCATGGCAGCCATCACAATATCCTCGAGTCGCAGTGGTTCGATAGTTTCCGTTTGGGTGGGAAAGAAGTGCAGGAAGCCAGCTCGAACGGCCAGTTCGTGGACATCCTCCGCCAGTTTATTCTGCCAGCCAGTCTCGAATAAACGCTGGACATGGTAATTGTAGTTCTTTTCCAATACCCAGTTTTGTTTGATGACCTGAACGGCCCAAGTGTAACCCACGGGATTTGGTAGCTTCTTCATCCTGCGCCTTCGCAAGAATTTCTGTTGGTATAGGTAAAAATCCATTCTGTCTTCCGAATCCGCATAGGCGTAGTGTGGATCCAAGCCTTCCTTTCTCTCCTTTTGCAGGGATTCTTCGACCAGAAGAAATCTCTCCCTTAACTCCTCTGAACTTCCATAAACGGAACTCGGTTTGATATCATGCGTTTGCAGCAGTATATTCACATTGGCTGCTTTCAAGTCAGCCAAGTTTTCAATGGGTCTCTGGTAGAGTTTGGTGGTCAACATCATGGAGAGCAGGGACACATAGAAATTGGATAAAATAAACCCAATGGCGAAAAGCAACAGCAGGAGCATGCATTTAGAGCCACTTGAACACTGCGGCAAAGATAGTTCCCGGTTCAACAGAGTTTGTATGGCCAGCAGGATATATTGACCCATATTCCACTCCTTGAAGTGCCAGCGATGGAGCAAAGAACCCATTACCGATATATAGACCACTATTAAGCCAATGCCGATCCAAATGTAAAGGTCAAAGGGTCTGAAAAAATAGTAGAACTTGTCAATGGGATTGCCAAATGGGGCCATTAAAGCCACACGATTCATGCGAACTGGCTGACTGGTAGCATATTTGAAGGTTTTTATAAAAATACTCCCACATGCATCGGTTATATTATCACTTATTATCTGCAAACATTCGTTGGTAGAATAGCGTTGAAGTTCAGGAAAGGGAACCGCTTGAAAAGTCGCATTCAGGTGATCGGCAAATATTTTTAAAATGGTTATTATGCTACCTTTGTACCGATTTGGGGAATTCTGTGGTTCCTTTTCATCAGCAAAGCAATGAGGTGGATCGTTGCTAACTAAAACACGCATGGGATAACCCATTAAATTATGGTTGTTTCTGCTCTTCACGTAGTGTGTTAAATTTGTAGGCCTAATCTCCAAATAAGGATAGGGTTTTATTGATAAAAGTTCTTCTTTTGAATTATAAATTACCACGTAGGGAAACCCTGCATCCCAGTAAGCTTTACCAATTTCCATATAACTTTTTTTCAGCTTGTGTATCTTTATCTATGAGCACTATATCATTGTATTGTCGATCTGTGAGATAGGACCTCAGCACCTCCACTGTCCTGAGATTAAAGTCCAAATCGTTTTCGAGATTTATTATAACAAGCACTGGTTCGTCGAATTGGTTTTTAAACTCTTCACTAATGTTGTGGAAAATTAATAATTTCGGTTGAGAGGTAACTAAATTTAGTCCTTCAAAAGATTCCATAGTATAGCCAAAGTAAATTTGGGTTTTTATATTCAGCGCCATTGATAATTGGTTGATGATTGTATCAGGATTAGGCGAAACTAATCTCAGGAATATGAAAACCAGAAAGGTTTTAGGCAGCGACATCTTGGAAGGCTTGTAAACTAATAAATCTTCTTTGTATGAAAGCCACCAAGTAAACTCGGTTGCTTAATTTAATTAGATTACCTAATTATGCGGTTAAACTAATTATGGGCAATTAATAACGAATGTTGAAAGGCGTCGAAAATACGTAATTAAAATTGATTTGATTGAATGAGCTTTAAAAGTTTATGTGGTAGAAAGTTCAGGGAAACCCTTATAAAAATATTCAAATGAAAAAATATTGAAAATTTATTTAATATAATTAGTAAAAAACAAAACCACTGGAAACTTTTAAAAATATAAAAACATATTTGCTATTAACGAATTGTGGGAGTCAAGCAGTTAACAGCGTTTAATGTTGGCCAACAACATTTCTTAACAGCAGGCACTGCTTTAACAGTTCGAGCCGCGGCCAACAGGTTCGAGCGTTAACAGCTGTTGGCTAACATTGCGTGTTGCACGCTGCTCTCTGGTGTGATATCGCATGCAATAAATATTGCATTGCAGCAGCAATGGCCGCGCTCACACACACACATGCAAAGACTTTCACGCAGAGCAACAACAAATGCGCAAGTTTTCAAAGTGTTTTTGGTGTTGGTGTGACCGATGTTGCCGCTGCGCCAACTAATGTTGCTGGTTGCGCTGATGTTGCTGCTGTTGCTGTTGCTGCTGGCGTCGCCGCTGCCGCTGTTGCTGCTGCTTGTGTGGAAAGGAAGAAAAACACAAAGCCAAAAAATGTCGCACGTTTCGATTCGGTTTAGTCTCGATAATTCAATCGCCCTGCCAAGACGTCCAACGTCTCGCTGCCGTAACGCCCAAGTTTTTAACCCAAAAGTCCCCAGCATTACGCGATTTATACACCTCCCACTATAAAAACGACGTGCCCCTATAACAAAAATAAATATTTTTATAATTTTATTATTAATAATTGAAACCACAAACGGAAGTACATCGCGTGTGTGTCAAAGTTCGCGAGTGTGCACGTGAGTGTGTGTGTGTCTGTTGGCCAGAAATGAGTTTCGATTTCGTTTCGTTTTGAACGTAAAAGTATCCCAGAATATTGCTAATAGCTATCGGTCAAGTGGGGCACGATTACATGGGGATTACAACGCCGAAACTGCCCAATGTCAGCCACATCAATTAACCAGCACGTTATCACCCAGCGCCTGCGACACCTCTGAATTTTAGTTTACTGCTCTGTGCCGGCAGTAAATGGGTTAAAATTATGTACATTAATCGCCGAATGAATGTCGAATCAGTTAGAGAGACTGCTGTTTTTTATTGTGAGTATGAGTATGGCAAATGATCGATGGCACCCCCAAGTGAAGGTGAAGTGGTATTATTAGATTATGTCTGTAATGTGTTACGAACACTATTTATCAAAAAGTTAGTGAGTTGATTCAAAAATTTAGGGTTTTAGGGATGATGTCTTAAGAAAGTATTTGGGGAAAAATATTGTAGGTTTAAAAAACAAAAAGGTTTTAGTAGATTCAGTTAAATTTTACTACTACAGAAATCGACTAATGCCATTCAATCTTAAGTTAAGATATAAAAATCAATAAATTGCTTAAAATAAAATTGATTAAAGTAAGCTACAGATTCCTACATAACAAATGTTGTCTTGTTTTGTCCTCAACAATCAAAATAAAAATACCAGATTAATGGCTTCCCTTTAACTAACCAACTCTTCAAATCTGAATTGATTGGCGCCATTGCGATATGGGGGAAGACCCTTAACTTTACACCGCCACCGGCCCTCGTGTAAGCCACTCGAATGGCAATACCCTCAAAAATTATAAAACAATAACTATCAAGGCCCCTCAAGAGAAGCCGCAGCCTCAATCTCGACTATCGGGCCGAAAATTAGCCAAGTTACAAAGAACTGGCGGGCCAAATACTTCCTCAATACAAAACCTAAACCCCACCAAACAACCCCACTAAAAAAAAATACCCTCTAGTTGGTAGCTTCGAAATCTTATCAAGGCGCACGCTTTGTAATGCTATCGAGCACTTCCTCGCCTCGAATTTATGCCCGGGGTAACCTCGTTTCGATCCCCCGTAACCAATGTGCACGCTTGATTTTCCCAAGCATTGCTGCACTGAAAGAAATTGATCAGAAAATAGTTAATAACATGACATATTTTCATACCTTTACTTGTATATTCAAAGCGTGTCAGTACATTGAGTTCCAAACACTTTTTAAATGTCTGGTTTTAAACGTTTTTTGCCCTCTAATTTCATAGTTTTCTCCCAGTGCAGCTGAAGATACTCAAAGTGGGCGGCAAAAGAGAACGGGTGTAGGCGGTTGAGGACCGAAGTTAAGTGAAGTGGTAGAAAAAGCCAAGGGCTGCGGGGTTTTTCGGGCAGTTGGGGGCTACCAAACGCATTATTTTGTAATTATCGACAGAGTTCTAATAAATAAAGCGTAGCAAGGCCCCACACAAAAGAGTTTGGTTATTTTTTTCTGGGTTGATGAAATTATGAATGGAGATAAGGTGTGGCATGTGTGAGAGAAGAGGAAAGGGAGAGGGATACTCAAGAAATGGTTGTAACTTCTACTCATTCAGATTTCAACCGCAATACAAAATATTTACAAGTTAGCACATAAATCTTCCCCTCTTTTACTACAAAATAACTGAAGGTAGAGAAACTGGAGTAAACACAACGTAACTATCTATAAAGATACAATGGCATTCCAACTTTTATAATTTCCTGCTGAGATAGTTGCACCCATAAATCTAATAATAAATCTTGTTAATTTGCAATAAGAGACGACGCAATAAGTATCGAAATTACAAGGACAAAGTCCTCTTTACATTACCGTAAGCCCAGAAGCACCTGACTTCCATGCATCGCTGGTAAATCTGGGTCTGATTTGATTTACAACCTGACCTGGCACAATAAAACACAACATTCAAGGGGAAAAAGGGCAAAAGGGGAAAAACACAAGCGCCGCCCGCTTGGCGAAACAATAAATTCATTAAATCAAAGGCGCGATTATTAATGAATGTAATAAAATACCAAAGAGACAACTAATCAAACATGATAAATCACCCAACAAAGGTGGCATTTCGGGGGGAGGGGAGGGCACAGGAAGGAAGGTAAAGGCTACCGCCATACGCCCCTTCATGGGTGTAGAAAAAAGGGGGGCAGGGGCACTCTAAGATGGCAATAGAAGAACAGGCAAACAAACAACATGAAATACTTTTGTGCCTTGTTTGCACTGTGCCGAGGGTATCAAAGTATTTGTCGTGACAACGTGTAAACATTGGTATGCAATTTAGGTTCGATATTTTGTAGTTATTGCTGTTGGTCTCTTTCTGCCGTTGGTATCTGATAGATACAATTATTGATGGCCCGGTTGGCAGATAGCAAGACGATAAGGTAACCGGCCACAAATGGGAGAGCAAAAATAGAGAAAACACTTAAAAGCCATACACTGGGTCAAAGTTAGTAGAATTAATTCTATGTTATAAATAAACTAAAAAAGCAAGGAATATTAAATTATTTTTTTAAGCTAGTGTCCTTTACCGTTAGCACCTTAAATTGTAAAGAAAATTAAATATTTCACAACTGCAAGTAGAAACTTCTAGAACTTGAGGAACTTTAAAAAAGATATTTTAATATCTATATTTACTTTATTCAACTTTAATAGGTTTTCTTTTATGTAATGTAAAATTGAAGCCATTTATCTGTAGTTACGAGGAAGAGTCTTTTATTATACTAAATCCTTTGCTTAGAACCCACTGTATATTTATATTTTTTAATTTCAAAACATTTTCCTAAATTTAAAACACCGTTTTTCATCCCTTCCAGGTGGTGATTTCAGGTGCATTATGTACAGTAGAAGATTACGTAATAATGTCACAGTGTGCACACAACAAAGCCATACACCTAGCTGCGGAAGGAACAGTCTCAGTGACGGACACTTCACAGATACGTAAGTATTCCAATAAATTTACTACTTAACCCCCTCGTGGCCCTAACACCTCAAGTGCCCCCACTGCCAACGTCTCCTGTTCGGATGTATTTTTTTGTTTATTGACACGTCTGCAGGAAATGCCATCACATTGCCATCTAATTTACAATTTTCTACTCTTTCTTTTTCCTTTGTGCCCTCCAAACCTTTCACAAAAACATATATATCCCGAAAAACGAAAATATTTCAACAATTTACAGTAGTTTGTAGCTGCTGTTTGTTTGCTTTCGATTTCCATGACAATGGGTTTGGGAAAATGGGAGGTGGGGGGCATTCCACTTGACTTGTCTAAATGTCGGTAACAACAATAACAGAAAGTGCTACAATTGTTGAATATTTTTCCGCCTGGGTTATTAATAATGTTGCCAACTGTCATTGAAACGCATGACGAAAGCTACTTGAGATGCGGTAACAGAGGATGGAATTTAAATGAAGCTGGGTGGAAATAACTGTTGGTTTCCCTAACGTCTTTATGGGGTACTTAAGCATTTATTTTTATAAATTATTCCAAAGATTAGAATTTGTAAAAAACTGTTTGTATAGGGCTGTTTATTCTTGGTTTAAAAGTTTTCTAACGTACTCGAATATGTAAGGGGCTATTGTAAAGCTTTGATAACTTAAATATCGCACAGTTTTAAATTTTTTTAATTATAAAGAAATTATTTATTTTGCTCAGAAATACCGAACTATAATTGTAGAAATACAAGTTCAACATTTAAAGCAGTTATTTTGTAAAATATTTTTCAAACACGCACAAACATTGACCCACAACTTTGCATCTGAAAGATACAGTTCCATTTTTTGGGGGCAAACATAAATTATTGCAAAAACTGGCAACAAAAAACCTCACACCAAGAAAATCATAAAAATTTGCTACGCTTTGGGTCAACTTTCACTCGACGCAACACCAACCTTTTTTTTCGGTTTTGGCCATGGCCAATTAGAGCCGCTGCAGCTGCTGCCTGAGAGGCCGAAAAGAAAAGAGATACAAGGACCAGCACGAGCTACACGGCCTGACACAGCAGGATAATAGGAAAAGAAAAGAAAGGACAATGGAGGTTTCACAAGAAGCGGGCAAAATGCTGGAAAATGCAGTAACAACAGGTGCAAAACTATTTTCGTTTGTTGCGAGTGCGCGTGAAAATTTCCAGCTGTCCAGGGACAGGGACATAACCACTTAAGGACTAATGTGCGAAAAGTTCCTTTGTCAATTTGCACGCCCTCTCACCGGCCGACCCTGAAAACTTCATTCATTTACATGGCTAAGCTCAGGTAGTCGGGGATTATTCCTAGTCCTTGATCCTGGCCAAATCCAAGCTACGGGTTTATCCCACTTGTTTGGCTGGGAATGCGGAATTTCCCTTTGCAGATTTACGGCGGTCAGCCGAATCCCCTGCTTAGCTGGAAAAATAACGCTGAAATAAAGGAAGGGATGGCTGCTAATGAATCCTGACATCTCAATCAATTTTGGGGGAAGCGAAACGAAAGGGAGGTGGAACTTTCACCACCCCAAAAAGAATAAAAACGCACACACAAGAGACCACAACATTTTCCCATTTTCCAAAACAGAAGCGGGCCACACGTCAATAAATCACACGATTTAATTTCAGACCAACAGAAGGCGAAAATTGTTGAGGTGGCTTGTGTGGATTGGGATGGGATGGTATGGGATGGGATGTGTGGCATGGATTCTCGTGGTTTTTCTAGGACCACAACTGCAACTAGGGACCATGGCCATAAAACATTTTATAGCTCATCATGTGCGGTCATAAATTTGAGAACGCAATCAGTTCTGGCTCCCCTATATATTGCATTGTGTAGGGCTATGCTATATGTTCAGGGCGTTGCCCAATCAACACCTAACCCTTGCCCACGGGATGCATGTAACAAGTAACGAAACCGTTAATTTCTTGATCAAATTAATCCCAGTCCCAGTCTCCGTCCCAATCCCAATCCCTGGCGGCCCTTTTGGGACTCGGACTCCTCCACATATTCCATGTGAGTAGTGCTCTGCTGGAAGTTTGGCCCCTTGTTTGCCTGGTAGTTCATTAAAAGTGTTTAGCATTGTTCAGCATCGTTGAAGGCAGCAGCGCCAGCGATCAATCAGATTCTCTAAAGATCATATACCTACGATTACCTAAACGTCTTCATAATGAGAATGCGAGATGGTCGGAAAAGCACCTTCATACCGTGTATTCATGGGGTTCCCTAAGCGTTTTCAAACGGTTACCAAATTATTTCATAATATTCCCTACATTAATTGAATTCTTGGGGAATTATACAGATACAGATACGGGATAAACCTAAGCAGTAAATCAATTATTATAATAGTTATATTACATCACCTTAAATTGCTTTGAATCTAGACTATTACAAGATGTGGAAACGGAGTTAAAATAGAAAATAATTATAATTATTTAGTGCACTATATTATTGCTATGATATGTAAATGTATTCATTGGTTTACAAGGTGTAAAGTAAAGTGTGAAAAATATTATTACAGCGGATTTAAATTAATCTCCAAAACAAATTGGTATTTTTGAGGGATTGTATCTCTGTCTTTTATCTTTACTACTTAAATTCTTACTCTACAAAAACCATATCCATTCATCTTCTTTACTGTTTGACTTACCTTTACCAAAACCCGTCTTGAACAAATTTGTTAATCCTTTTCCAGCTATCTCTGTCTCCATCCCGACCAAACTTTAACCCTATATACCCATGCTTACTTTCTGTGACATGATCACACACAACTTGTTCCCAAAGAAAATCCCTCAATGACTTTGCCGCCTGGCCCTGAGCCCAGAAAACTCGGAGCCGCGACGAGACACAGACGAAGAGGTGCTAATAATGTGGGAAATATTTAGCACCATCATTACAAACATCATTAAAATATAAATAGATGTGTTTAACATGAACACCCAAAAGGGAAAACCAAGGAAAAAGAGCGGCCCAAAAGATGGAACAGAAAGTTTGACTTGGTCGAAAAGGAAATCATGGCCCGAAAGAAATTCCGAGAAATAGCACATGGTGGTGTCTTTTTGGGGGGTAAGATCTGGTATGGTATACCATAGTATGGTATCGTATGGGTATAGTCATTGAACCTCTATAGCCTCTCTGTTCCTCCGATCGCGCAGATTCATCAATTAACGCCCCGGGAGAGAGGGACGGGTGACCGGGGACAGAGCGAGACAGAGAGCCCCTTCATTTCGGTCCAAGACGTCAGCAAATAAATGCATTTCCGTTGCCCAGCACAAACAAATTTCCAAGAGACGCCGACGAAGCTAAAGAAAATGTTGAAAAATTCCCAAACAGATTCGACTCGATATTCTTTTACCTACCGCGCGCCCAAAAAAAAAAAAAGTAGAAGAAAAAAGGGGCTCAAACGGTTAAGAAAACATGGTCAACAACAAAGCCGAACAAGTGTACCGCTTGCCGATCGTCAGTTCGACAGTTTTTGGTCAATTGCTTCACTCGACCGTTCGCCAGGTTGGTTAGTTGGGATTTAAAAATACAAAAAATACAAAAAACACAAAAAAATAAAGAAGAGAGATATAGCAAGGGCCTGCATTGATTTCCACTTAACGCTTCAAAACTCAAGTGGCCAGTCCAGTCCAGGCCATATACCTATACCATATTCCATTCCATTTCGAGCCAAGTTTACTGCGCTTTCGTTCCTGGCTCTCTCTGTTTCAATATTATTGTTTCCCACAGTTGGTCAGAAAAATATTTAAGCGCCAATTTGATGTAGTTTTTCTTGTCGTCCCAGTAGTTTTCCTCTTCATTTCAACCATTTCTTTCTGGCCTGGTCAAGTGTCGCCCCTTGAATTTGAATAACAATGCCGTTCGGCTCGTCTTCAAAGCTGGCTTTCTTTCCCGAATTCTCCCCCATCCGACTTTTCCCGGCTTCGATTTTGGTAATGAGCGATTGGATCGTTTGATCTTCAGTTGGCAGCAAGGAGCCGGGTTGTCAGCAATTACGCACTTGACGGGGAAAATCGGGGCTCACAATGGAGCTGGAAGGAGCTGTTCAATAGGGGGCTAGTCAGTCGATCCCTTGGAAATCGAAAAGTTCTAGGAATCTGTTTTTGTCTAGCGTGGGAATAGAGTTGTGAATAAAGAGACATCGATTTACAGATGGAAGAGATATAGGTGTATCGGGAATGAATGGATCTGTTGTGTGAGAAAATCACCAACACAAAAAATATATTAAACCGAATTGTATATACTTGTGTTGCAGTTAGATGTTATTGTCTTATTTGTACTCTTTAATTAACATTTAATCATTTTCAATATTATTTGTTTTAAATACATATTTGTTATGCAATCAATTTCAATTTAAGAACCCATTCTTGATAAAAAAAAACAAGTTTTTCACAGCTCAAGATATCATCCTAATCAAAAAACAAGGCCTGCCTTTGTATAATCCTGGCCCCATATTAATCCCTGTTCAAAATAAGACCAATCGAGCACTGTTCTAAGGTAAACATGCAACCGAATCATGTTCTAATCTATAAAACCCACCACATGCCCTTTTGCTGCCCGATTATCTGTGAGATAATCGAGTCCAGACCCATCTCAGACTCATAACTATAGCACACTCCATGCCGCACACCGTTAAATTGTGCATTTTACGAGCCCAAATTCAAAGGCAAAGCCAGAACCTAAAAGCCATTAAAGAAATGCCGCGGATAAAACAAAACGCCGCCGATCAACGATCACCGATCAGCGATCGCTGTTCCATGATCAGTGGGGCAATAAATTCATCAAACAAATATCGCTAGGCCTGCTGATCGACATGAATATTAAAAACCACAAAACTATAATCAGGGCATTATGATCAGCGCCGATCGTCTGTGGGTCCAGGAAACATATCAATCTCTCAGCCACCGAGTTGTGCCCCTTTTTTCCGTTTATTCCGTTTTTTTTTGTGGTGCAGCCATTAACTGCCTGCAGACGAC